TGCATACTGGGTGCATATACATATATGACTCAATAAGATCCTCAAGACATGATGCTGTAGTTCATAAAGCTTTGAACTCATTTGCTGTAATGATACCATTGTTGCTCAACACTACTACATTTTATCAGCAAAGAAGTGACATTACAATGGATAAACCACATTTTTTGGAAAAAGAGGAGCTAAGTAATCCATTTGCTATTATTTCAGTGGATAACTTGCCTCAACAGGAAAAAGCGTAAGTGTTTTGCTATGTTTATCCTGCTTCTTTATATTACTTCAGCTATTTATCGTTTATTGTTTTATCTTATTCTTTCTTAATATGTGTTTTATTGTAGTGATTGTGGTATATATTGTTCTGCATTTGCGGAGTATTTCATTGAAGGCAAGGAGTTACCAGATGACAAGAACATGTTTGATCCTACACGTCTTCGATTAAGATATGCAGCATTACTATACATTTATGATAAAAAGAAGCAGTTGGAATCTCTTGTTAGTGAAGATGAGTCTACAGGAAGACTAGATAAACCTTCTGTTTCAGAAAGGCGCAAGATGAACAAGAAATAATTTTTTGTTCTTTTCAATAATTGACTACATACTTTTGATTGAAATGCAGATTATTATGCTATATATTATGATAGAATTAAAGACTATAATATTTTTGAATTTTTTTTTATGAAGGGTTACAAACCATTATATTATAATGAAGAAGTGCAAAATAGTGAAAATTTGGTATCTAGAATAATTAACCGTAATTACATAATTTAATATTTTGTGTCTAGTAATTAACTGTAATTACACTGGAGATTTTTAGTGTAAAACCACTATGTCCTGTATTTAATACTGGATGTCAATACTCCAAATTTCGATGTTAGTATAATTTGAACAATATACTGGAACGAATATAATCCAGTATATTATAATGGAGATGGAAAATAGAAATGTAATGAACAATTTACTAATTAGAATTTAATATTTAGTGTCCTGTATATTATATTATGGTTGAGTTTTGTTTGGTTCCTGTATATTTTACAGGAATTCTACCGTGTTTAAGCTTGTTGTCCAGTATATTATACTGAAAAACTAGCATCTATATTCTGTATTTAATATTTAGTGTCATGTATAATTTACTGGAGTTTTATATTGTAAAACCACTATATCCTGTAATTATTACTGGAAATGAATATTGCTGATTTTTTTATCCTATATTCATTCAATTTTTATTACCTGCTATAGTATATGCTGGAATCGCTACTCATGAAGGAATATAATCCAGTATATTATAATGGAGAAGTGGAAAATAGTGGAAATTTGGTAATTAGAACAATTTGCTTGAATTAAATAATTTAATTTTTAGTTTCCTGTATAATTTGCTGGAGTGTTATATTGTAAAACCACTATATCCTGTAATTACTACTGGAATAGAATAATGCAGATTTTTTTATCCTATATTCATCAAATTTTTATTACCTCCTATAGTACATGCTGGAATCGCTACTCATGAAGGAATATAATACAGAATATAATAATGAAGAAGTGGAAAATAGTGGAAACTTGGTATCCAGAACAATTTGCTGGAATTAAATAATTTAATATTTAGTGTCCTGTATAATTTACTGGAGTTTTATATTGTACAACCACTATATCCTGGAATTGTTACTGGAAATGAATATTGCTCATTTTTTTATCCTATATTAATCCAATTTTTATTACCTCGTATATTATATGCTGGAATCGCTACTCATGAAGGAATATAATCCAGTATATTATAATGGAGAAGTGGAAAATACTGGAAATTTTGTAATTAGAACAATTTACTGAAATTAAATAATTTAATATTTCGTTTCCTGTATATTATACTGGAGTTTTATTGTAACGACCCGACCCGTCGTATCGGGTATTACCGCCCTGTTTTCCTCATTTATTGCTTCTTCATGTTTCATTATCAGCAACGAGTGAGATAGAGTTGAATTGAATTGGTTTGGATAGGAAATGAGACACTTAGTCTCTTTAAGGAAGGCTTAAATTGGAAAAGTTAACCGGACGTTGACTTATGAGTTCGAAGGTTCGGATGTGATCTCCGATGATCCGGTTAGCTTCGGGAGATGATTTGTAACTTGGGAGCGTAATCTTGGTCGCAAAAGCGGTCTGGAGTGGAGTTGGGCAGTTTCGCAGAAGCGGAACACTTTTCGCTTAAGCGAGTCCGCAGAAGCGGACAGGCGGTCGCAGAAGCGGGTTTGGCCAGGAGGTGAGCTTCCGCAGAAGCGGAAATTTGTGTCGCAGAAGCGGCCCTTGAGTTTTAATGAAATTCCGCATAAGCGGACAAATATCGCAGAAGCGGTTACGCGGAAGCGGGCGTGGGGACCGCAGAAGCGGAAACCCCTGAAGCCAGTAGGAGTTTTATATTCATTTTGTTCCGCGAGGGTTATGTTATTTCCAGCATTTTTAAGCGAGCTTGGGAGCTATTGGACGGAATTGAAGGGGGATTTCGACTAGATGTGATTGGAGGTAAGTCCCTTGGCCTAAATACATGGAACTTTGATAGATTTAACATGGAAATTGGTTGAAATTCTTCAAAAAGGGGTAAAGCTAGGGCTTGAGTTTTTGATATTTTAAATTGGGATTTGATAGGCCATTTGAGCTCAGATTTGGGAGTTCTTGGTATGTATGAACTCGTGGCGAGACGAGGAATCCGGTAATGTGAGTTTTGTAATTTTTCGAGAAGTGGACCCGGGGCTCGGGTTTTACTAGTTTCAAGATTTTTGCTATATTTTGATTGTTTTCGATTGGGTATTGTTCCCTTAACATATTGTGATGTATTCGCTCTGGTTTGGGTTAGATTCGACGCGCGTGGAGGCCGATTGAGGGGCAAAGGCGTCGCGAGCTAGGGATTTCACCGGTCCGAGGTGAGTAATACTTGTAAATGATATCCTGAGGGTTTGAAACCCCGGATTTGCACATCATAGTGCTGTATTGTGGTGACTTGCACGCCAGGTATGAGCGTGGGGTAGAGCACCGTTGGGGATTGTGACTTGGTCCGTCCCGGTTGTTGATTTTACTGCGTAATTGACTGAAACCTACTTGATGCTATCGTGATTTGGGTTGATTGCCATGTTTTGGGCTTCGTGCCGATTATTTGAATCCTTTAGGGATTATTATCACTGTTTTCATGACACTTAGCATGTTAAATGACTTCAGTCCTGAGTTAAACACAGTTTTGAAATGTGCAGTCATATTGCTAAAGTTTAAAGACTTAAATTGCATTTTCTGATGTTTTGAGTTAAAAGCTATTACTTGACATTGCCTGAGTGGCTCATTTGCATTGATCTGGACTGAATATGGATCGGCCTGCACGCCGCAGCGATACTATGATGATATTGCGCTTGGGCTGTAGGAGCCCCTCCGGAGTCTGTACACACCCCTAGTGAGCGCGGGTACCCAAATGGATCGGGCTGCGCGCCGCAGCGGTCATATGCATTGCATTGCATTCATGCATTGGTTCCTGTTTGTACTACGTGTCATGACATTCAGCACTCTCATATCATTGACATCCATGCTACTTCTTGTACTGCTTACCAGACGCCCTGGTGTTAATTGTCTGTGGAGTGCTGTGCCCGAGGGGCTGACTTATGTGCGGACTTGCACCATCTGATTACGTATTCATTTGTTTGACTGTTGGAAAAGGATGTTTTCAAAAGAGGTTTTAAACTGAGCCAGATATTTTCTAAAGGATTTTCACGGTTTTACTGTTTTCTTAAAGAGTTGTACTGTCCTATATAGCATGATGGAGTGCTCTTACGTGATTTCTTGCCTCTCAGTTATTATTTACTCTTATTACTCACTGAGTTGGAAGTACTCACTTTACTCCCTGCACCTCGCATGCAGTTGCAGGTATTGTTCACCCGGTAGCGGGTTATTAGCTGATTGAAGGTATGGCTATTGTAGCTGAGTAAGGTGACCGCCAGCGTTCGCGGCACCAGATGTTGTCTTTGATTTCCAGGATTTTTCCTTATATATTATTATTGGCCCTGTAGTTGTGTTCAGGTTTCTTTAGATGCTCGTGACTTGTGACACCACGGTCGGGCTGTGTTGGGTTGTGGATATCGTTAATTAGTGTCATTTTGGCGTACTTTGCTATTCACTTATGTTTAATTATTTGAAAAAGGTTAATTGGGTTAGTTGACTGGCCTTGTCTTCACAAGAGGCGCCATCACGACCAGGGTTGGAAATTGGGTCGTGACATTTATATTGTAAAACCACTATATCCTGTAATTACTACTGGAATGAAATAGTGCAGATTTTTTTATCCTATACTCATCCAATTTTTATTACCTGCTATAGTACATGCTGGAATCGCTACTCATGAAGGAATATAATCTAGTATATTATAATGGAGAAGTGGAAAATAGTTGAAATTTGGTAATTAGAACAATTTGCTGGAATTAAATAGTTTAATTTTTAGTTTCCTGTATAATTTGGTGGAGTGTTATATTATAAAACCACTATATCCTGTAATTACTACTGGAATAGAATAATGCTAATTTTTTTATCCTATATTCATCCAATTTTTGTTTCCTGTATGTTACACTGGAGTAATATATTGTTAAAGCAGTAAACCCCGTATTTAATACTGGATATGAAAAATCACTAAAAAAAATGACTAATAATAAAGAACTCACCTAGTATAATATACTGGAGATAAAGCTTACACAAGGCACATGTTCCGTGAAATTTACTGGAATCAAACAAAATTTACTAGAGGATAACCACTAATATCAAGTATAATATACTGGACAAAATGAAAGTAAGTGGAATTACATAATTTAATATTTTGTTTCCTTTATAATACACTGGAGTTATATGTCGTAAAACCACTATGTTTTTACGACATAGTGGTTTTTTTGTAAGCAAATCAAGAAGCAAAAAAAATACACAGTATTAATATTTTGAAAAACAAGAATATTGAATATATATTATTCGGGATTACATCAGCCAATGCAACTTTATTGTATATATTCAATCATTTTTTCCCTATATTTTCTTGCATAAGGATGAACTACAACAGAATTTGTGCAATTTGTTCTGGTATGCCCATATTTTTTGCAACGACTACATCTTGGTTCCTTCTTGAATTCTGTACCGGAAACATGTCGATTCTTCTGTCTTCTTCCTAGCAGTACTTTGGCATCTGGAGGCTTAGTGATTTCTGATTTAATAGTGTCTGGTATAACCCATGTTGTTGCATCACCTACAGAATTTACTTTCCCTTCATACGTATTCAACCAAAAGTCCCTTGAAAAATAGGCTGAGCAAAAGGCCGATTTCTTTTGATGTATACTCTCAATTGCAGCAATTGCATGTTCACATGGCATCTCATCTAGCTGAAATTCAGAACAATCACATGTTCTTTTGTCTAGATCAACAATAAATTCCATACCACCTTCTTTGACATTGAATTTGAGTCTATCAATGGGCAATACTCTAAATGTAAAAGCTGGTTGAATTTTTGCTTCCAATGTTGCTTCTGCCCAATTTGATATATCACGGAATATTCCTTCTGCAAGTGTCCTTCTTTCATAGAACCAGCTTTGCAATTTTTCTTGTATGAAATCCATCATTGTTAAAATTGGCAATTCTCTTGAACGTCTTAAAACATTATTCATTGACTCAACAATATTTGTTGTTAATATATCATATCTTCTTCTGGGACAATGTGAACGCGCCCACCTTCCTGCGGTTCCTCCATCAAATAATTGAAAGTTTTCTTATCAACAGCAACTATTTGGGACATGAAGTCATCAAATTCTGATTGAAGGTATACTTTTGCAGCACTTTGAAAGAGATTTATCACAGTGTTTCTCACTCTTCTTTGCTTCAGATTCTTTTCTAAATGATAGATGCAAATTCCATGGTAGCACTCAGGGAAAACCTTTGCAATTCCATTTGCAATAGCCTTGTGTCGATCTGACAAGAACATTAAATCATTACGAATCCCAATTGCTTTTCTTAATTCCCTGAAATACCATTCATATGATTCATTATTCTCTTTATCCACTACTCCAAAAGCTATAGGAAAAACCTGGTTATTTGCATCTTTGGTAACAGCCACTAATAGAACACCTCTATATTTATTTTATAGAAATGTTCCATCAACAGCAATCAGTGGTCTACAAAACCTTTGCAATTCCATTTGCAATAGCCTTGTGTCGATCTGACAAGAACATTAAATCATTACGAATCCCAATTGCTTTTCTTAATTCCCTGAAATACCATTCATATGATTCATTATTCTCTTTATCCACTACTCCAAAAGCTATAGGAAAAACCTGGTTATTTGCATCTTTGGTAACAGCCACTAATA